TTGATACTTTTTCTCTTATGACTCTCAGCCATTTATAAAGAACCACGGCGAGAAAGGCGAGCTTGAATGGATGAAAATGTAGCTCACTACACATTTACACTTGAAAGTGCGCATGAGCAAGCTAGCTGGGAACGAGCATGTTAGACAGCCTTACGTAAACATATCACCAGAATGATTGACAATTAGGAGGACCACTTATTTTGATGATCCATCTAGATATAAACGATTACCTCTATTCCTTTAATAAGAACTATATGCAGGAACATTGGAAGTAAAATACTGCTATTTATCCTTATTTCATTTCTTCTAAAGGCTTTTACTTATTCAATGAATGTTGATATGATGTGAGTTATGAAAACCAATCAAATCTCCTGTTCATGTACCAAATTTTGGTAATGAAGTTGATCCTGAAAGTTGCAACCGTCTTTTATCAGTGTGTCCAATTATCTGTTTCTGATTCTTTGTTCTAGATTATCATCTGAGAGGATTTATGCAGTTTTTACAGATTACGCACATGATAAGGTACAGTCTGCAGCCTGTTTATGTTTCTGTGTGAAGAAAATCTAAAAAGCAACAGGAGTCTTCTTCCTCTGTTAGATTTCAAGAGATGAAGCGATCAATAAAGTTCGATTAGAAACTGAAGAGGAGCTAAAAGGTGATTGGTCTTTTATCTGTTTAGCCACCTTCTTTCTATAATCAATTACCATAAATTCTGCCATCTTAAATGTTAATGAACTTCCTCTGCATTTAGAGAAATTCCCGCAGGCTGAGCCCTTTGAAGTCATTGAATCCTTCAACGCTGTGACTAAAGAGATCTTTCGGGATTTAGTACTTAACGAGTACAGGAGGTAAGTACCGTTTTTATCAGAGAAATATGTTTCATTCAAGCTTTATGAGGCTGGTTTATTGAAAAAAAAATGCTTTTCATTAACTTCAAAGGTGCGATGGGAGGGAGCTGACGGCTTTAAGGAAAATTTCCTGTGATGTTGACCTCTTCAAGCCGCTCCACGGCTCTGCTCTGTTTCAGAGAGGACAAACGCAGGTGTGTGAAAAACATAAAGGTTAAAAAACAGGAATGGACACATTTGGTTCCCCCTGATAGAGATTTGTAAAATACACTAGCTTAAAATAACACAAAAAAAATGTAGAGAAACCCTTCCTGGACTCTTAAGATCTATTCAATAGAGAAAAAAAAATATGATTAGAAATTATTTTCTTTACTAATAAAAAAACAAATTAACTGAGCTTTTTTGTTTTAAATGTATACTTTGGTTGGAGTTTCTAAACACTTTGGTTATAAATCCCAGGGAGTATTTATCTGGGGTTTATACAAGATGTAGCCCTGGGGACCTTTTCTCCCACCTTTAGCCACTCAGCTTCTTTAGGAGCCATATTTATCTAGTCTCTATGAACATTAAGGAAAATAAGGAACCCTAAAGAAAAAAACTTTAAAAACTGCATCAAAGAAGTAGCATCCTGGGATGCCCAGTTCTCCATAGCAACCATGACTTGCAGATAATGAAAACCCTTTTCTGTCCAACCATCACATACTCTGCTGGATGAGAAAAAAAGACTGAACAGTGTGGCAACAAATACTTCAGGAGGGTCTGGCATCAGGGATGGGTAACATAGACTCAGTATTCTCATATTGATGCATTGATAAAAAAAAAAAAAAAATAACAATTAAAATAAATACAATAAAATGTATTTTGGCTCTAAGTTAGTCAGAGCTTCATAAAAAATAATACTCATCAAGAAATGCAACTATTATCAAACAAGCTTTTTCAGTGCACCAAGTGAGCAACTGTACTGCTGGGTTTGCTATTATCATAATTAAACACTTATAATAATTTTTTCTTTTTTGCTCTAATTGTGTTTTGGTTTAACTTATACAAATATGAACCTCATTCTACAGTGATTTCAATCCCAGGGGGAAAATACTTTAGGGGGGGGGACCAGGACTCCGGGCGACGCTGCAAATTGTGCAAAGAGAAAATGATCCATGCAAGAGAATAAATGCTCTCCTGTTGGCAGAAATTGTTTTTACAGGCTGTTAACAGCAGTGGTTTGGGTAGTTTTGCTCTGGGGGATGTATCTATTTATTTTATTTCTGAATTAATTTATTTATATTGCTCTGAAATGTTCAATGTTGGATAATGCTGCCCCTATGAGTGATAGACTTAAATTTAAGCATTATGAACATCTTTACTAGCCTGGGTGCCAGTCCGAACTTAGTCCCGCCCACAAGGTTTGAG